TAAGTTGAGACCAGAGCGAGCTCTCTGGCATCCGCAGTGCTTTGGTTGCGCGTGCCTGGGCGTTCACGCTTGTGTGTTAGCAAGTGTAGAAAGATCGCATTGAAGGCGGAGCTTCTAGGCTCGGCTTATGGGTTAACAGAGTATATATAGTTCAGTCGTCTGCGAACACGATCGCCGTTGTCTTGGGCAAGTTTGTCGGTCTCATGTTTTTACAGCGGGCAAACAACGCCTTGAAATTTCACAATGCAGCCACCACAACCTAAACACATACTCGTTGAAAGACTGGGCCTTCCATGCGCAGATGCCGATTTTTCCGGTTTAATTTCACAACTTAGGGAACAATGGAGTCCCCCACTGTACACACACACATATATATATATATAATTTGAGAAACGCCCATAGTGAAACAATCTTAACAAAAACAATATAATTTCGATTTTTGTATATCTTTTTCTGTTTTGTTTAGATCTAAGTCCCATTTTGTACGTTGTTCCGTTTTTTGGTACGATGCTAAGTCGTGCTTTCTTGACGCAGTCGAACTTTCCGTCTGCACCTCGCATATCATCACTCACGCCGAGGGCGCCGAATTTCTCTTGCAGGCTCACTCTTAGAGGTCGTCGACGTGTTCACAAGTCAAGTAGTGCGCTAAGTCTCAAGGCTGGACAGCGTTTATCGCGTTGGGTTTGTCTCGAAAGTGCCTCCTATTATCGTCCTAGCCTAGTTAGGACCCTTGACCGAACATCTGAAATGTTTACCCAGTGGACTGCGAGTCCAAGTACACTTGGTAAAAAGCAGTACAAAAATAGCATACTACGTGTTGTAATCTTATAAAAAAAAAAGGTACACTGAAAGTCTATTTTATTATGCTTTCAATATCTCTACTATACTTCTAACATACTTTTACTGCAGTTGATATTTTGGCGGTGCGGTCGGCATGTCTTCCCAATCTGTCAACTATAGTTAGGTGTGCACACCAAAGGTACACCCGCCGGCGATACGAAGGCGTACGCCGGACCGTCGACCGGTCCGTGCTATCAGCGCCATGACGTGGCTGCCGTGGCGGCTTGCTTTCTTATCGCGCGCTTCGCCGAGATTAAGCGCTTGGATCTAGCGTTGTTTTCAGATCTGCTGCTACTACCTGCAGAAAACGTGGAAGTGGGTTTCAATTTCGGCATCTTTTTTTGTGGGCGTGACTAATATAACATCGTCATCGTCGCAAGTGCGACGCGGTTGCTGGCACATCACACAAATGAAACAATATTGCGTTCTTTTTAAGAAGCGGAAAGTATGTTACCTTTTTATTTCTTCCGCAGCCTTCCGGCTTAACACAAATCACAACAAAAAACGACTAAATCACATTGTCCACCGATAGCGTCTGAGAGGCTCCTTCCCCAATCCTCGCGCTTTCTCCAGGGAGTAGCAGCAGAGCTGAGAACAGCGCTCGATCCAAGCGCTTAATTTCGGCGAAGCGCGCGATAAGAAAGCAAGTCGCCACAGCAGAAGCGCCGTGGCGCTGATAATACGGAGCGGTCGACGGTCCTGCGTTCACCTTCATATCGCCGGCGGGTGTACATGTCTAATACCCAAGTTACACGGGCACACCTAACTGTAGCTACGTCCAACCACAGTTTCCACGTGATAATCTTGTAGAACTTTCTGAAGCTATGCAGTAAAAGCCATCGGCGCGCTTGCACTTGCGCATCTTGAGCGTTTATCAAAGCTGTGCACGCTCATTTTTCACTTTTTCCGTGATACCTGTCCGAGACCATAGTGTGGTAGCTGGGGCTAAGCATAACTGGAGTCAAGCTTAACTACGGCTAAAGGTGCACGTGTAACTAGCCCTATTAGCCTATATGATATTCGTAAACTAAAACTTTATATAATAGAATACCTTGCAAAGTGTTTCATATAAAAGGGCACAATTCGCATACTTTTAGTATCTCACCTTTTTTGACCTTGGGCACATATTCAGAAGTTTTAAGAAACGTCGGCTTAAAACGAAAATGAGAACAGGGGCCTGATTGGCCTGTTCGTACACCCCTCGCCACTGCGAGTTAGTGACACGCCCATAATCACTGACCGTTTAAAGGGAAGCTGAAGAGCTTTTCGAAAAAAGTGAGTTAATGGTTGATTCTGACGTGTTTGTGCCTGCTGAGTCCAAATATCACAACCGTTTGACCCAAAATATTCCCCAAACGCGAAAAAAAGCAAAGAAACCAGAAGCGATCGCCGCAGCGGCACGCCATTGGCTAGCCACGCGTGACGCGGCGCTACGTCATAAAAGGACCATCTCGATTCTCGTTTGCTCCGTCGCTTGCGGAAGTAGCCGGGCGCCGGGTCTTCTGCTCTTGTAAATCGGGTTCGGCTTCTGATTTTTCGAAATCTTTCGGTGGATCCGAAAGAGGAATGTGTCGAGATGACCCTCGACGTGACAAAGTATGCGTTCCAGCCGTTGAAAAAGTAGGAAAATGACCCCCCGGAGTAATAAACACAGAGACGAGGAACCGCTTGCGCGGACGCGACATGGCCGGCTTTGTAAATTCAGGAACGTACTGAACGCTACTTATTGTAACCTAAAACGTTGACAATAAACGGATGGCTATTGACGGGACGCCTCAAGCCGGATTAGCGTGACCTTCCCCCAAACGGTCGTCAGAGTACAAGAATTCTGCACACATCGGCCTTCGTGCTTGCCAGCTGCTGGACGCGTGAGCGTGCAGGCTGCATTCTTCATCAAGGCTGAAGGGGTTTGAAGGGATAGCATAATCGGCTTCGGGCGACGGGAAAGCTTCCCCTGAAATGAGACGGGTGATAAGATAGGGTCGCCGTTCTGCCACCGCCATGTCCTTGCGCACTATGCGAATAACTGTGCAAAAGGTTCATCCTTGTCATAGCAGTACCCTTTGCTGCGTTAAGTTTGTTTGCCGCAAACTATTACGCCATTAGCTTTAGAAAAAGCGAAGATGTTTGCCCGCACCCCTTAATCTGATGTCGAATTCGTGAAAGCTTCCTGGGCCTCTACATTTGCATACTTCTACTAAGATTTGTTGACTGCATCACACTGCCATCAGGCATTAGCATTTTCCGATCGCATTTCTACGGCACAAAGAATTGTTGCATTACACAAACTTTATACGGAAAACACTGCGTAACTTGTAAAAAAAGAACTCAATTCAGAACAGAAGGTCACATGCTTTGTATTTCCACAAAGCTCTCCTGAAGAGAATGTGAACCTTTGGAAGGAAAATTTAACAAAATATATGTTTACGTTTAAAAAATATGTGGCCTAAAATAATGTCAGCAGCTGTAAAGAAAAAAAGTTTATGCTAAAACAAGTTGCACCGTGAAAGTTGCATTATGAATTGCATGACCACTAATTAGAGCAAGCCCTTCTCTCCCAAGTGACTGGGTAGCCAAGTAGATTAAAAGCAAAAAAAAATAATCTTGGGCTACCCAAGATTGTTTTCTTTTGTTTCCTAAATTTCCCGGACCGGAGTAGGTCCGGAAGATACGGTCACTTCAACAATATAAGAAACCAACACTAAAACACTAATATCAGGCGGTTAACACAAGAGAGCCAGTAGAAACCCGCTATTCGGCTAAATGATCGCGTTTTTTCTGGCACACTGCAAAATTCTAATAACGGAATAGCTTTTTTCTAGAACAGTCGACCTACAATTCCTACCCAGTTACGTTTCCTCTTTGCTTGTGACTTTTAATGCGCTGAATTGCCTTCTTACCTTCAAAGATGGTCGGCAGAGCGTCGGGTTCAGGTGGGCCTTCTTCAGACCGAAACCAATACGCACAGTTTTCATATGCGCCGTCCGAAACACGTTGCGAACAAAAAACGGTGCATTTGCTCAAACCCACCACCCCTTTAAAATCTCGGTGACGAAGTGGAAAAGACGGTAAGCGGGAAGAACAACTGCGACGAGCGATGTTCCTGAAAGCTGGCGGCTACACAAGAGTACGGCGTCGTGCAACAGCACGAGTCAGTTGGTTCGGTGCCACGAGAATTGCGCAAACCCGTGAACAGACAAGAGAACAATCAACACGCCAGGCGATTGAGTCAATAGCATGAACACTCAACGGATAAAAGCAAGCGCTATGCAGCGGCAGAACGACGACGGCTCGAAAAGACACTATACTCCGCTACAACTTTTCTTGGCAATGCAGTGGAAGGTACAGGCCCGCGTCCCCTCTCCCATTTTGAGTGTGCGCGGGCTCTCCTCCTCTCCCCGGAAATGGGGGAGGAGGAGAGCCCGCGTACACTCAAAATGGGAGAGGGGACGTGGGCCTGTACCTTCCACTACATTGCCAAGAAAAGTTGTCGCGGAGTATAGCAGCCTACGAGGAAAGCGCGGCCAGCGCGGCGGGGTCCCCCAGCCGGTCCTTTTGTGACGCCCGCCGACGGGCTTCCTCCTCTCTCCCCTTTCCCTCTGCTTCGGAGAGGCGTGGCTTCGGCGCTACTTTGAAGGCGTTTTCCGGTTAATCCGCGCAGAAAATGACCAAACGAATAAGATATTCGTGATGGCTGAGGTCTCATTAACTAGGCTCATGTGTTTTTTCTCATAATTAAAACCGCTTCAGCTTCCCTTTAAGAAACAGAGGCTGTGACGAGTTCCAAGTAACTTTAATAACATTCTGCAGCCAATAAGATTGGGCTTCAGCCTATACGAACGGCGAAGGACAGATCACAAAACAAGAAACGGTGTTTCTTAAACTTTCAGCGATTGTAAAGTCATGCACAGTTTAAGAAACGCGGTGCGTGGCTTGTTATGTTAATTTATGCTGCTTGCTTCTTGATTGGTTCATTGGAGCTCTTATCTGCTAATGCCACAACCTCATTGACCAAGGAGCGCTAACAAGATGCAGGAGGCTCGCCACGGCCCCGCGTATCATGAGCTGCCGGCGACTGTAGACTTGAAGCGTATTGTTTTAAACGACGGGACGAGCCTGGTTAGACTGTGTTACAGATCCAACTGGAATGAAAATCTCACCTTCAGGGGTGTCCTTTACCTCTTCGCCCGGAGCCGTTTGCCTGGACTGGAACGAAGAAGTCGAGAAAATAAGATTGACCTGAGTAAGTATAAACCCCTCTGCGAAATTGACTCGTTTTTCTCTCCATTTTTTTCTTTACACAAAGGGGCTGTCACAGTATGTGCTCGCTCCTACGACGAGTGCACGGACTCCCATCAAAAATGGCTGTCGGTGTCGCGACAGCAGCTTCCCCGCCGCCTTCTGCTGTTTTCGCCGTGCCACAAACACACGGGGCGCGTTGTAGCTCTCTTGCATACAGAAAGCGGGCAAGCAACTTTTTGTAAACCCATGTCTTATCTTTTTTTTTTTTTTTTCAATATTTGGCTTAAAGGGTTGAATAAAAAAAATTAATACACTGTTCCAGGACGAGTTCAAAACAACCGGGTCTTATCTTGAATACAAATTGCACCGCTTTATTTTGCTGCAGTGATAGAAGCAGATGTTATCCTCGCCAAGAAGCACTATCTAAGCAATATGATTTTGATATCACACAGACCGTGTAGACGTTCAGGAATGCTATGCCTTACCCGTTCGATGAAATGTCCGGACCCAGTGAATCTTCGCGCTCCTCGATAACAGCGCCACCCACTAACCCACACACACCCACACCCGCACCCCCCCCCCCCCCCCCTTTCCCACGCACAAGCACACACGCAATTGTGCGCATCAGTAATAACTTAAATGTAAACACACTTACGCAAAAATAAAAAAAAAGTGCGGCGCTTGAGATTGTAAAAGCTCAAAATGTACCGGCGGAGATGATGTAAACAAACACGGAGCACTAACGTTTCTGCCGTCTCGAAGCTATGGCGCCACCACTCGGAAAAATGTTTTTCCTTTTTTTCTTTTGGGGTGGGGGGGGGGGGTGGGGGGGGGGGGGGGGTCTGCTGGTTTACCGTCGTGAAACGCGACTAGAGTGCCGGAACCAAGGACTTCGCACGGAAAATGAATTAGTAGCGTTGAGACTGCGGTGGTTACGCCAACGCCAGCCTACTGTCTGTTCGTGATATGGTGATTTGTCACGGAGCAACTGGCAACAGGCCTATCCCGCGCGGGGGAACATAGGTCATAGGATTATTCATGATACGGGCAACCTGCCACACGAGTTCGTCCCTAAGAAGGTGTATTGGGGTAGTGATCTGGGACAGTTGGTTTATAGATGAGGAAAACAGCGCCGAAATGATGGCTCATATGAGAGTTCGTCAAAAGGCAATCCGTAGCAGGTCAATTGGTGGGGTGAAGGGGGGGGGGGGGGGGGGGGCATTTCGTTACATAAGGAATTTCATTATATAGGGCAATTCGTTGCGCTGAAATTTCGTCAGGCTATTTTTATAACTATGCTCGTGCCATTTTTCTAGTGCCGAGCATATTGCTCCTAAGTAAAAAAAACAACAACATTAGGTGATGCCCTATTCACACAAGTTTCGAGTCTCTGCAATGGCCGTTCGAATCGCCGTTACTTTCGCAATATTCTGATTTCCCGGGACTTCTCCACAATCCAGGTACCAGTCGTCCCGGTAAATAATCGGAAGACAGCGGAAGATATGCAAGTATGTCAAAAGGAATTTATTAAGAAAATACCATACAGACACCTCTACCCATAGTGAAATGTTTCGTGCGCGCGCCTCGAGGAAATCTGTGCTGTAGATTCCATCTATTTGACGAACTTGCATATTTTCCGCTGTCTTCCGATTAGTTATCGGCGGCACATGCAGTTCGTCATGGAGAGTACAACAGGATACCCAACGTATCGACACCCTCAGGTCACTGGACAGATACAGTGCAATCTGAAATCTTGGATCCTTCAGAGCAATACAGGTGCATTTTTAACTCTTTCCTATTCCTATATTTGTGCACAGACATTTCTTTGTCAACTCGATTGAAATAATCCACACTATTTGTTCTATATGTTATCATGGCCGAACGACCACGCACATCCTCACGTAATACATTTGTACACATGTTAGTTTCATTAAAGAATCACATCATGTTTTAGCTGCACAGTCAACAGCGAACGCACAGAGTGACCTAACATTACGATTCATTGGGGTTTACTAGGGAGTTTTAGAATAGCCCACGCTAAAGCTTTGCTTACGCGAAGAATAGCGTCGTCGCCACCGCCATGCGGAGAGCGCTAACTACGTTTTGCACTTCGCGTGCGCTATTTCAGCGTGCGCTATTTTTCGGAAATTTCGTGCGTACCCCAAGAGTCTTTACGCTCCTCGAAGGAGGATTTGTGATGAGGATTTGACTAAAGCCAAGACGAGCAGAGTTAAAAAATGGCGGCTCTCAGCACCATGTCTGCGGCCGCTTTGGCGGCTGCTTCGTGAACGCGACGTCGGCGACATCCTCGCGACTGCGATTTCCAATACGGAACAACGTGAACACGTTGCACTCGGCTTGGCAACGATCCCCGTCAACTTGATGCTTGCGACGCGCGAGCATTTCTCGGCGAGGTACGATGTGCGAAAGTCAGTACACGAGACCTCTCTAGCCGAGGCGACGCCAGCGGACAGGATTGGTCGACCGCTAGCGTCGCATTCTCATACTTGAACAAATCTAGAATGTTAGTCTCGACCAAAGAACTTTTTTTTTTTTTTTTCTGATGTTACAGCATTTCGTGCATAATTAAAAATTGTGACTGTATCTTGGTGGCGTCGCAAGCGCGAGATGCTTGGGCTTTTGCGTCGCGACGGAGAAACGCTGTTCAAGAAACTCTCTTGCGTAGTGTACGCTAACGCAAGCCTCCCCACTATAGTTCCCAGCACCCTGGATGCGACCAACATTCCGATAGACGAGTCCGCCTATGAGGAACGCGGACTCGCCTACAACGAACGCGAACACATTAGAACGCGGAACGCCGGCGTCCGGTGTTTTTCTCTCGCATTTGAACGTATTCTGCAAGGGGAGACAGTGCGTTAGACCTATACACACTCATCATTCAAACGAGCGTTCGGCGTTTTTGACATCCCAGACGCTTTTCTCTTCTCTCCCCCAGTTTCTCGCCGCATAGTCGGCGTCAGGTTAAGCCTAACTACCACCGCCCATACATCCATAGAGTTACTACAATAAACGCTAGAGGCTCAGCTGGCGAGTGTGCTGTTGCATTTTGAAGCAGACAGCAAGCAGTCAGAAATTGACTTCCGGTAATGCATTTCTATGGGAAAAAGCGAGTGCATTTTCTCTCTGCGCTCGATTATAAGAGCAAATATCAGGAATAATTTGTACGTACTAGGCACATTGGAACATTTCTCAGTCACGCAGACGAAATAAGTGGTCAGTTACAGCATTTTTATTTGAAATTTGCGGCGTTAAAACTGTTAAAACCGCTTCGTACGTGTATTTATGTGCACTGTCGGACACTGTTAGCACGAACACGGCGTCGACGCTCTCCAGCATGGGGGATATACGTGCCAAACGAACGAACGACATGTGGAAAACCAAGAGAGACGGCAAGAACTACGCAGTAATACTGGATAAGTAACTCGTTCCGCATGCAGACGATCAAAATAAATTGGAAGTCACGTAATATAGTCGGATTTGCAATAAATAAGTACTGCTTTATTCTTTCTGCTCATGAATATGTGCGAAGATGCTTGTTCTGTGTTCAAACCATCACCCGCACGCTCCAAACCTTTGCAAATAGGGCAAAGCCAGAGGACAGGTGCCCGATAAATACTGCCCAACATAGGAAATAATAAAAAAACACACCTTTCGTCGCCCACGTACTTCATTCTTTGCGTTTCGAACGTTTTTTTTAACCGCTCGTAAAGATGCACGACGGGGTCATTTTCATATAGTGAGAGGACAGGCATATTAGCTGGCGAACTTTGAACACACTCTACATTCCTTTAGAACGTTATTTTGCTTAGAATCGTCGTTCGTTTCTTCATACCTGCCATGGAACAGAAGTTTGGGCCTGGAATATAGCGAAGTTTAACATCGTTCAGTGGTAAAAGACAAATACTGTAACTAAAGCAATTACACTTTCACAATAGTAATAAAGGTGCATACTATCCGGTACAACTGAAATAACAAGCGTCATTCATGTTATTTTGCGGCGACGAGACAAAATTCACGCGCGTTTTCCCGTAGGAATACACAGGAAGACTGGAAAAGTAGACTGCATGCTGTCTTCTTCAATTTGCAACCGGAAGTCCCGTAGACACTAGCGCCAGCTGAGCCTCTAGCGTTTATTGTACTAAGCATACATCAGACGAGAGACCCGATGTTCGCAGCAGACAAAACGACAGAATCATCAAAGGACACGCCCATGGAGTAAGTTCGAAGGGCGTGTGCCATCTTTTATATACATGTGCTTCCAACATGTCTGCAGAGCCTATTTTATATGACTGATGTGAAGATATACAAAAACGAAACCCGCTCAGGCATCGTCCGCGGACTGTCTTTCGTATGGCGTATTAGCAGTGCGACCACCGTGCTTTGAGAACCCAGCATATGCCCCGCCTCAAACGCTCGGAGACAACTTCGTCGCACAAGCGCCATGCGGAAGAAAACGAGCGCGCGCGGGAGGCGGAGTATCTAATGGCTTCTTAACTGGTCACCGACTGTAGCTACTCGCTACTTTAGAGCGTACCTCAGTGCGATTCTGTATGTATCGATTTTTTGTTATTTTTGTTTCATTTCATTTTTACCTCTCCAACTTCACGTGACCTCTCTACATCCATTCTCCAGAAAATTGAACGAAACACTTGCTTCAAGCCTAAGACGTCCGACAAGTGCAGCCAAAATACTCGAATAAACTATAGCTTCTTGATGCTACAATGTCGAGCTTTGTAAGGCTAACTACCGTATCTATACCGGTGTGTAATTGGCAATTTTGTTTCTTGATAATCTCCGTCGTGAGTATATATATATATATACACACATCCGTATTATGCAGCCATGCGACATACATGCATTTCCTTTTTCCATAAGTATGGATATTTAATGCGCAAAGCTGCCGCGGGGCTTTTGAAGGGGAGAAGGAAACGAGAGAGAGCGGC